CAAAATTTATTCCATCTTATAGACCATATATGGATAATTTTTCTTGTCCTTTATGTGTAGAGTGATTGTTACCCTTTCTAGCATGACTAACAATCTAAATCAAATAGAAGGATCTATGTACATTAAGTAGGCCTGATTATACAGTGTGGCAGAGATTATCATATTTACAGAAGGAAGAGAAGCACAATTTTGAGAAGCACAGGTACACAGTCAATAAGTTGAACTACATAGTTGATAATGGTATGCTTTTAAATCTCTCATAACCTTTTAAGAACAGTGTTAAAAGGAATATAAACTCAATAACAAATTAAGGAATATTCAATTCTTATTTCAAATGGAATTCAGTACTTTATGACCGCCTATGAAAACATTCCTTTAGGGCTGCAGTTGTGGCTCAGTGGTACAGCACTTGCCTTGCAAGTGTGAGGCACTGGGTTTGATCACAGCACCACATAAAAACAAATAAAGGCATTGAATCCATATACAACTAAAATTAAAAAAAAACATGGTAGCACTACTATACATGATAGATTCAAACAGAAAAGTAAAGCTGTGGACAGAGAGTGGTTTCCATTGTATGAGGAAAAAGCCAGTTTTTTACTAAAGTATATTTAGAAATAATAGCTATCACTATGTAGCTATTGTTTAGTTGATATCTGTGGCTTATTCAGTAAGACAAAACTGAATATCATTTAGGATCATAAACACAAACACTAATGACCTCAATTTTCCCCAAGATTTATACAGAAAAACATAGGTATTGGAAATATATAAGTAGTTTTTGTGGGAATGAAAGTCCAAAAACCAAAATTATTTTTAAAGAATGCTAATAGTCTCTTACCTACTGCATATTCAGCAAGCATTACTTATAGTACTGTCAGATTGTCCCCAAGGTTCTGTAAAATATAACAGGTACTTCTAGGGAACCATCACTAGAACTACAAGAACTCCCTAGAGGACTTTCTCATCTATAATAACACCTCCACCTGCAAAACCATGTCTTCAATGTAGTCCACACCTGCAGGCCACAATCTACACA